AGGCCAGCCTGGTCTATATAGTGAGTTCCAGGACAGCTGTGGCTACAGGGAGACCCTGTCTCAAAAAGACCAAAAAAATAAATAAATAGAAATCATACTGTTGGTGATTCAAATTTATAAAACCTATCACTATATGCCAACTCCCCAACACTACAGACTGCTTTCAAATCAATGGTACTGTGTAGGCCCTTTCTTCTTTCCAGTCGTGTAACTGCCTAAGCAGATAGGTAAGTATTAGCTACAAGAACATACAAGCTGCGATTTGTCTCTGACAAATTATTTACAGCATCCAATCTGTTATGTAATTAGAATCCAACTGCCTCTTGGTCCTGCCAGCTGCAAGCTGTTCTTTACTTTCATTCTGTAGGATACCTATCCCAATGCAGGGAGCAGATAGGGGACAGTAAGAACTCAGAGTTCAGTCCTTCTACTGAAGGACAGCAGCAATAGCTGAGTAACAATCATGATAATGGAGAGCAGCCGTGGTATCCAAATGGAAAAGGCTGGATGTAAGAATGTAAGAAATACTAAATACTTTCACAAATTCAAAATAGGTATCAGACACTGAAAACAGACTATCAGTTTTTAAGCATCCTCAGCCTTTTTGATTTATAAAATGAGAGACCGAGGAGAGGACAATTGCTGCCAGTTAAGTTCCACTGTCTAATTCTTGACCTAGTGTAGGGCAATAGCTCTAACTCACCACTGCTTACTGGAGAGAACTGAGGCTTTGACGGGTACCTCAAACATTCCCTCTCTCCAGTGGAAAAGAAAAAAATGTAAAAGTAATTCTCTTTCAGGTAAATGGAGGTCAAGGGTGACAGTTAAACAAAGGGAGGAAGTATTAGTTCTTTCAATAATAGACGATAAACAATTATATGTGAACAATAACAAATACAGATTCTAAACTCTCATTACTAAAAAGGAAGCTTAAAAAAAAAAAAAAACCAAAAAACCTCATATAGTACCACGTAGATTAAACCAAATAATCTTTAAAAAAATAACGGGATCACAACCATAATCTAACTACAACATTTAAATATAAGAACTGAAAATTCCACTCTAATCATCCTAAGACATTGTAAGAATGATGTCCCCTCCTCTATAGTATGGAAATAGGATACTGCAGTAACTTAGGACTACATGGTAAGCACTACATGGTGGTCACATCTTTTTCCCTTGGTAACAGGGTCTTGCATGTTGCCCAGAAGTACATGCTACCAGGCCGGGCTTAAAATACTTATTAACCAGCTATAGCCCCCAGTGAAGATTAATAGTGCTATATAATGTGAGTAATCCTAACTCATTTAGTAAGTTATTAGCAAATAAACTTTAGACAGAAATACAATATAAGTTATTCTATGAAAATTGCATATAAGTTATTCATTATTTCACAGTCCACCAAGCCAAGCCTCCCATTTGGCTGACTGAACTTTAAGAACCAGAGAGTGGGTGGGACTTGTAGTGGTGAAGTGACAACAGCAACCATAACAGCCAAAAAAGAAAATCCCTTTTCATTAATGACCCTACATTTTCACCTGTTAATATGTCTGGCTGCCAGAGTATCTCCATTAAGAGCCAATTCTGTAACCAACATTCTACAGCATAATAAAAAGCCACATTACTTGTAGATTCTCATCCACCTGACCTGTCAAGTGTGAGTTTTTCCAATCTTATGTAAACACATCCCAAAGGGCTTTATAACCAGTGATGACACACATGCAGTATTATATATGTGATTACCTGTGAGCATGAAACTTTAATTGAAAGTTAATCATAAATGTGTAAGGACCTCCTCTCTGGCTTCTGGGTAGAGGTGTGGGTTGTCTGGATCTTGGAAACAGAGTAAAGGGGAAATGTAGATATTTATGAAATATGTAGTAGTCTGCTGAAAATTCAGCACAAGGTGCACTCAATGGCACTGGAAATGTGGCTGGGTCTACATGAAAGGTTCTAAATGCTTCATTAAGCAGTTCCCACTTATTACAGGCAAAGGGAAAGTCATCACTAGAGCTGGCTTATTTACATTCAATCTGGTTCTGAAAAGGATCTGAGGTAATTTGTAAAAAGTTATTAAGGTTAAAAAAATTTTTATGAGGATCAGATCTGGAAATGATACCATCTAGAACTGCATTTGGTTTTAGAATTATTAGTGCCTAAACCAAAAGCTATTTTTTTATTTTTATTTTTATGTGTATATATGTATTGCCTGCATGTAGGTAAGTGCACCCATATTGTGCAATGCCTGCGGAGGTCAGAAGAGGCTGTCGGATCCCCTGGGACTGGAGTTACATGGTTGTTAGCTGCCATGTGGGTGCTGGGATTCGAACCTGGGTCTTTTGCAAGAACAACCTGAGCCATCTCTCCAGCCCCCAACAAAAAGGTATTTTAGAAAAAACTCGCAGCACAGTCTAATGGGAATGTTCTTTTCACAGCCGCCATAGTGGATGCCAACCAATATGGGGATCAGAAGAGATGTAGCTATATTATTGATGTAGCTATATTACTACTTTGAAATAAGGCCTAACTTTCTAGCATAGTGGCATGTATAATATAAAAACAAGATTATTAATTCAACAAATGTAATCTTTTCACATTGTCAAAATGAAGAAAATTCCAACTTGAATTTTTTTTTACTTGTTCTCTCTCTTCATGGAGGTACTAGCAAACAACAAAATGAGTTCCAGAAAGGCATTAAAACCAAGAGGCACCAAAAGGTCTAGCAGCACATTTCGTGTGGGGTCATAAGTAAGAGTCTATCAGATTATATCTTGAAGCCTACTATGTTACTGGCCTGATGGGCAAGCAATGAAGGGTTTTTACATTTCTATCAACTGCACATGAACTTTGAGTTCATTAAACCAACTAACTCTATGTAGCCAAGAGAAAGAGGAGTACAGCACCTTTCCTCAACTTCAGCTACACTGACATCTTGACCTAAAGAATTCTTTGTTCTGGGGACCTGCCCTTGCAGTAGAGTATGCCTGGCAGCATCCGAAGCTTCTGTGCACTAGTAGCATTCCCTAAGTTGCTCCTGGTTGAGCTACAACAATGGTTCTCAGTAAAAATGGCACATCAAAATTACCTTTGGGAATTTTAAAAACTTAAAAAATACCCTGTCCCTATCATTCAGATTCTGGAGCAGTGTGTTAGTTACTTCTCTTGGCGACCAAAAGTAAGTTAAGGGAGGAAGGATTTACTCTGGCTCATGCTCACAGGAATATAGTTTACTATGGTAGAGAAAACACAGTGACACAAGTGGCTCAGTCTGTGGTGTTAACAAGGAAGCAGAGGAGGAAATACCAGGGCTCAGCTGCCTTTCCCCTTTTAACTCAGTCCCAGCCACAACCCATGGGATGGCGCCAGCCATAGTCAAGGTAGGTCTTTCCTCCTCAGTTAAACTTCTCTGGAGACAGCATCATAAATATGACAAAAGATGTTCCTAGGTCATTCTAAATCGACTCAAGTTAACAAGGAAGATTAACCAGTATATCCATGGGGCTTAGAATTTATATTTGTATCAATCTTCAGGATGTAGGGTTTAGGCACATGTTTTTTTAAAAGATGCCAGAGCATTTTTCAGCCTATTTTTTAATCTAGTTAACATTCTTTAACTTCTAGTTAACAGCCTATATACTTCCTGACAGCAATAAACTGAGATAACTGGGATCTGGTAATAATTTACTGAGTTTTACGTAATCTTTTATCTATAAGAATATATATACACATGAACCATACAGATTTCTAGTCATGTAGATCAGATTCATACTTACTTGCTAGGAGTAGACAGGAAAGCGCAACTAAATGGAGCTGCTGGATAGAGATGTCATAGCGATCCATGAACAGGTCCAGCAAATAGACAGCAAGATGTCGGGCAGAAGGGCAGAGTGTGAAGCGATTGCTCACGATGGCAATCAAGTCAGCAAAATATCGCCTGAGACTCAGTTGAGGGGACTGGCCTTTATAAGAAGGCAACTTCAGCTCCTAATTCAAGAGGAACAACATTTAATCTATAGACATATCCCCCATAATGCAAAGTCTCAACATTGTTTTCCTACCATTAGTGTTAGAAGATTTCAAAGCATACTTTGCTTGAAAGGAACAGAGAAATAAAAGAGTTGAGTGGGAGCCAGGCATGGTGGTGCACGCCTTTAGTCTCAGCACTCAGGAGGCAGAGGCAGGTGGATGGATCTCTGTGAGTTCAAGGCCAGCCTGGTCTACATAGTGAGTTCCAGGACAGCTGGGGCTACAGGGAGACACTATCTCAAAAAGACAAAAAAAAAAAAAGTTAAGTGGGAAGACACTTTAGACATTAAGAAAAACAAAACAAAAAGCCAACCACACTATACAAATGAATTTAAAGGTAGCAGACAGATGAGTGTATTCCTAGTATGATGCCTACAATATTACACCTGCAGGGTTGAAGAGACCTGTACTTACCCACTGGCATCTTCTAATCTTCCCTCTTTATCAGTTATAATATTTACCACCCTATTTTCATATACTTAAAATTTTTCTAATCATCAATGTTCAATCTTAGGGCTATAATCATACAATTCGTTTTAAAAATATTTTAATTTTTTTGTGTGTGAGTGTATTGTCTGCGTGTGTGTAAGAACACCCATATTGTGCAAAGCTTGTGGAGGTCAGAAGAAAGTGTTGGATTCTCCTGGAACTGGAGTTATGGATGGTTGTTAGCTGCCATGTTTGTACTGAGAACTGAACCTGGATCCTCTGCAAGGACAGTCAGTGCTCTTAATTGCTGACCCATCTCTTGAGCCCACAATTCATTTTTAAATACTGCAAAAATTCTGTATCATTAAGACTCCTGGGCTGGGAATATAGCTTAGTGGTAGAGCACTTTCCTAACATGAACCAACATTTTCACTTTTGAGTATATATTTGAAATAATTCAAAGTAGGGAGTTAAGCATGTATCTGTATACCCATGTCCATAATACCATTACCCACAATAAGCAAAAATGAAAACAAACAACTCAAATGCGGCAGGTGGCTGGGATACTGGGAAGTTACTCTTCAGTTGAGTAGAGAGTTTTAGTTTGGGAAGATGAAAGAAGTTCTTATAACCTCAGGAATAAACTGTAGGAAAACAGTCTCACTTCTCTCTAGCAGGTGAATTGAAATGCAGAGATCATCACAATACAATGTTGTTATCATGGGGTATTGAAAATACTGAAGATTTAGCTTAGCTCAGGGGATGGGGAGTTGGGAAGTAGGTTTTCTGGAAAAAGAGGCCTGAAGATTACCTTAAAGGACAAACTAGGAATCATAGCTAGAAAATAATGGTGGCTTTATTTTCACTATGCTAACCTTGCCAACTTTAGCAAAAACAGCTTGGAATCCCCAAGGGCCTTCAATGCAAGATTTCGTTTTTAATTTTTAGTTATTTTCATCATCGTATGTGTTGAGTGCATGAGGTTTGTGTGTGGGTATGCCCACATGGTGGTGCATGCATAGAGATCAGGGGACAACTCTATAGAACTGGTTCTCTCCTTCCCCCTTTAACTGGATTCCAGGGCTAGAACTCAGCTTGGGCTATAAGCACCTTTACCTGTTGGGCCACCTCACCAGCCTCAGTAGATTTTAAATAATGTGTCCAATAAATTTGATTTGTCTTTTCCAACAAGTATTTACAAATGACTGTCAGAGCCTGTTCTCTTGCCCAGGCGCTAAAGTCACACAAGTAAACAAAGATGACTACACTTTTCTCAGCCTACAAGTTTCTTCTATTATCTGTTGTCAGTGTCTTAGGACTGAACACTCATTCCCACTTTAGTCTCAAGTCCTTAGCAGCTAACCACTTCAAATGCCAGCTTCTGCCCACAATGGGTTAACTCTCCAGTCAGGATGGAAATGAAGGTCTACAGGAATACTCAGTAGTACTATAGCTCTGCGGGTATTTTCTTAATGTTCCTCACAAAGCTATAATTGTTCCCATTTGTCATTTTAACTCTTCAAAATACTTCCCCAAACGGACCATGACACTGGTATACGTAGCAGAATGAAAGAAGGAAAGGAGACAAGCATGAAAGGGAGATGCTTTCTAAGCCTCTGTGAGTGGCTAAACTATAGTTTACAAAGAACACAGTTGGCATTCACTGTGTTCTGTTTCCTAGTAACACAGTGCTAGCCATACTGATTATTTCTTTAAACGTTGGTGGGTCTAAATATCAAACATCTTTCACAGCCTCTGACAGCAATCACCCAAGGGAAGAACTAAATTCAGATACTTTGACTTATAAACAGACTGGATTCTATGAAGGCAAAGATCATGCCTGTGTCACTCAGCTACTGCTCTAACACCCTACACATATAAGTACTCAACATGTTGAATTAACACCGGGGCTGGAGAGATGGCTCAGCGGTTAAGAGAACTGACTGCTCTTGCAGAGGACCCAGGTTCGATTCCCAGCACCCACATGACAGCTACTTACCATGCTTAACTCCAGTTCCAGGGGAATCTGAAGCCCTCTTCTGACCTCCGCAGCATTGCATGACATGGGTGCACTCACTTACATGCAGGCAATACACTCATACACATAAAATAAAAATAATAAAATATTTAAAAAGTTGAATAAACAGATGACTAATTACCAATTAACAGCCTGAAATTAGCATGTCTTTTTTATAAGAAAAGTCTATTTTTAACCTCCTTGACATCAGTGTACAATCAATAGTAGTCTCTCCAGTTCTACAAGTTCAAGTTCTACTAATTAATGCAATGCTTTATGAAATGTGGCCATTGCCTGCCATCAGGACCAGGGTCTACAAGGTACTTGAAGAGAACACAAACGCAACCCAAGGCAGTTTGCCACAGGTGGTCCAGGCCAGGCTTTAGTGGGTTCCTTCACATACTGTACCCTCAGCTCCTCTGTGAGTGCAGAAGCACCTGACTGCTGGACTAGCTTTCTAGGGACTACAAAAAAGCATTTGACAAATCCTAATAAAAAATTTTACCTCTAATTACACCTGCAAAATTAATTCAGACATTTACTCAGGACTCAAACTTCCTGCACATAAAATATTAGAGTTAAAAACCATGGTTATCACCAAGAAAAATCTTTAGAGTCATGTCCATTAAAAAAATACATGTATCATTAATATCAAGTAATTGATTCTGCTACATACTAGGGATAAAAAGACTTACTTTTAGAATTCCCAAATATCCCTTCAAAATAGCAAAAGTGATTCTGGACAGTTTCCCCCTAACATTCCAAAGGAGCATTCCACACTCGGAATTTCTATGTAGTACAATCTCTTAGGGGTCTGAGGTGTATTCAGAGTTAAGAGACTGCCAGAATTAAAAAAGAGCATTTAGAAATTTCAAGCTTCAGGAAGAAGGGTGAAATTTTAACAACTTAAGTTAGAATCCAATTTTCCAATGTACTTAATCTGGTCAGAAACATACAAGTCTGTTACCATTCTGGGATCTTTAAACTTCAAGAGACAGAATTTTCTTAAAGAGTCAGCTGTTTTGATTCTTTCTCAGTTTTCTACACTTAACCAATGGCTCTTTCTCCCCAAAGTGAAAATGAGTTAAAGGAGAGCTCTTCCTGTATCATGCCTCTCATCTGGTTATCAAAGAAAAAGAACTGTCTCATTAATCTGTCTTATCACAAGCACAGATAACACTGTTATTGAAGGAGCAATCATACACAGTGGCACATGCCTAATCCCAGCAATGGGAGGTAGAGGCAGGTGGACCTCTGTGAGGTGGAGGTCAACCTGGTCTACAAAGCAAGTTCCACGTCATCTGGGGCTACAGGGAGACCTTGTCTCAAAAAAAAAAAACAAAAAGAACCAAAACAAAAGAAGCAACAATACATAAAGTTTGGGCTTAAAAATACTTGTATTTTTTTCAATGTCTACTAAATATACTAGGTCTACAGTCTACTTTTGGTATTATCGAGGAGTAGCTAATTCCTTCCACCTTAAGGCTTTTTGAACAGCCTCAGATTCTAAGAGGCAAGTAACAGTAAGTTACAACCTAGTTCTTACTACATGCCAAGCACTGTTCTAAGCACAAATACAGTACTGACTTACTCAAATTTCACAATCACCCCATAAGAAACGTTCCATTATTGCCATGCCTCATTTTGCAGATGAGGAAATTGAAAGTCAGCAACTTAAGTAGTCCAAAGTCTTATGGCAACTTAGTGGAAAGGCTGAGGAATAGTTATGAACAACTGGGACTTTTAACAGCTGCATGCAGTGGTAACTACGGCGCAAAGACGCCTGTTCTCCTGATTTAAAGTCAGTATATATATATATATATA